TTTTCCAGCTTATTATCTTTCGTCATGAGTAGATCCGACACTGAATGCTATAAATATGCTACCGTTACATATCAAAGCGAGATCGTGCATCCGTTCACGTATCACAGTCTATTTAACTTGTAAAACAGGTAAAAAAGAATGGGAGCTTTGCCAACACACTAGTACTTGTTCGCGGAATTCAGAAAAGGAAGTAAGAAAATCCCACCAGGGGCTTCCCCGGCGAGCCGGACAGGAGGAAGCAAGCTACCCTTGTTGACACGAGGAAGCACCATATCTCGTTCACGGCTAATTGTTCTAGATAGGCCCGCCAGCACATTGTTTAGCAGAACGATACGGGATCCTGCCTCCAGATAAAACTGACAAAACTATTATATCAAACAGATTACATCTATGCTGCAGGATGGAGCTCTGTATGTTTGTCCCGAAACTGAAAGTGCTACATCACGGTTATAAGTCTGTTCGCACGTACGGTTAGAATTATGTAAGCGGTCTATTAAATTTGGAGGTTTAAAGGATGTTTTGTTTTAAAACTATGACCAATCATAAAATAAATGCGTTGACAATGTGTCCACTGAAGTAAAGATAGTATAATAGATTTGATAATATATATCAAACGAAGAAAACATAGAAACATTGATTAATTAATTTGAATGATGTTGAAATGTTAAAACAAATTAATTAAACAATAAAAAGATGAATACATACATAATGAACATAAACCAATGACCCACAATGAAAATTATGTCATTCATCATTCTCTTTGAGGTTCCAATTGGATTCTATCCCCCATCATCTTTTGGGAGGCATGTCAGGGTCGGGGTGCCCTGGGTTTCATCCCTCATACATAATGAAATGTCAGGGCCATGCAAATCGTCCTCTGCTGCTAAGGGGCCATTGACGATACAAACAGGTATTTTCTGCACCAAACTGACATTTTTGATTTTTGATTTTCTCCCTTCAAATTGAAGTTTTTCCATGACACGAAATTCTTTCAACGATTTGCTTGGCCCTGAATGACAATATTTTCATTGTGGGTCATTTAGAAACAAATGTTTGATTGACAGTGTGTACTAGAGGACAGGTTCATCACCACTCTTAACAGCTGTTTCGAACGTTTAATGCTACTACAGAGACAAATATTCATAAACAAATCTATTTTCTTTATACAGCTTTGTTATCACTCATTGCTTATTCAGTGGGTGCATTTCAATACAACCTTTTTTAGACATTTTTTTTCTATTTGAATTAATTACATTTAATAATATATTTAAATTTGTTATTGTATCTTAAATTTGATGTAAATTAAATACATTAATGTAATTAAGTGTGTCCAGCGTAATAACAGATAAATGTAAGTGACGCCCTTAGATCAAGGTAATGTTCTATAAATAACTGACATGTCCGGATAGTGATTAACATCCTTCTATTGCTTACGCCTCCGAATTTAGATTGAGCTACAGTCAATTCGTAAACTATTTCATTTAACGTTACACGTGGTTAAAGAACTTCTGGAATGTTAGGAATTCAATACGGTATGTGACAAAAATGTCAGTATTTCTTGAAAATGAATAAATAATGCCTAGAATAAAGCCTGTTACTAATGATATGGTTGGGGACCTTGAATTGGCTCTTAATCATCAATATTGTTTGGTGTGAAACCCGAGTGATTCATCCCGTCAATGTTCCTATTCTTGAGTCATACACACATAAGTACATTTGGCCGGGAATATACATCTCGGTTCAGTAGCAGTAGCGGTCCCAGCAGCAGCAGCAACAACAGAAACTACCTGTTCAATATACAAAGTGTTACACAGTACACTCGGCTGTGGTGGTAAAGAAGGTTATAAAGGGGGCCAATGTAGTAAACACAACCCCGGTGTACCTAGTTACCCCGTACTGCCTCAGCGTATATACCTCTGACCGATCGATGTTACTTACTACTTCACCGTTAGACCCCTGGCGGACTTAAAGCCCGATTCGGATAGGAAACTTAATAATAAACATTTGTGCGTGCACTCTAATATTTGATATATAATACGGTTTATTTGCGTGCTGTGTGTAATGAGACGGAGGAAACTTCAGTTTAGGGCCTCTTGATATCTCAATATCAATGAGAAAACTAGGTTTAGTTGATAATATGTCGAATTAGATCGAGGCCTGTCAATAAAGCAAACTGCGTTTAACCTCTTTTAGTGCAAATGTTATGTAAGTTTAAAGAAGGTAAACAACGCTGTGACGTATTATTTAAGGGCTTCAATCATGATATGGCAAGTTTACGAAATAAATAACATCGGGTTTAAATGATTTTATGGTTTTTTGATATTGTTGGGAACAAAACATATATGATATTTATTATCCGTAATAAACATTCTTTAAGAAAGTCTGTGATTGTTAGGTGTCAGTTACAGTCCAGGATTAATTTGTGGGGAAAGTATTGAGAAAATACACGATAATTGTTTTGATGATAACCTCCTACACACCCATACTTTTTTAATAATTCATTAATCTCCTCAGTCAAACTGATTACCGCGCTATAGAAAATCATGTTTCAGCTACAGTCGCCCTGCAGCCTGACATTTACTGACATTTCCCTAAAATCCCACAGCACCCATTACCGGGGTAGTTTTGCGATTTATTTTCCAATCTACTTGGTCACAAAGTCGACGTGTCTTTTAATTTTCCTGACACTCCCCCGCATACACGCGGCAACAAACATCACTGGCTGGCCCAGCTGTTCGTCTATTACTAGAACGTCCATAATCACGACTTTTCTATAGCAGCTGTTTTTAAAGAAAAATATACTTACAACAGGCATATGTAGAGCAATATTCTAAGTGTAACATAATTAAATTTTATCCCGGGTTTTATGTTTTATAGGCGACATTATCTATATTACCAGATTTCTCTTCATCAGGTTCAATTAGATCGAACACACAAACACAAATCCCTTTATTCGTTAACAGAAGGCAGTTAAATGTCACCCGATTGCACTTTAAGGCATCATATTAAATGCGTTTTATGATTAGCTGTCTTGCATCAGAAATAGCTCCTCAGCAGCCTGGTAGACGAGTTTATCTACCTTACTGTCAGATATTGTACTGTGAATGTGAGGCTAATTGGAAAGGTAATTATCTTTCTTAAATAAACATGCACCAGCTAGCTATACGACCGCCACAGACAATGCAACTCGCCAGAAGAAAAACCTGTACATCAAAGAGATGCATTCGGTGTTGTTCATTGAGCTGGGAGCCCCGCTGTTACATATTGCATATTTAGAAAGCAATACGGACCCGAAAGCCCGGAGACAGTGTTGTGTAATGTTATTGGTATCTCTGCAATACCGGGTCTAACGATATGTCGATTCTGTGTAAACCAATTGACTCTATTATCCAGAACATTATGCAAACTACTTGTGATTTTCTTTGATTATACCGAGAACAGTATCCGCCGCACATTTTAGCCTGATCGTAATGAAAACAAATTATTTCCTTATTCTTAGAACGTAATTTGCCTGGGGACTTCCCCAGGCGATACCACTAATATGAATTTTTATTTTTTAACATTGGTTTATAAATAAAAAGGAAACAAACTACTTCATGATGACATTTATGAATTGATTTACGTTCAGATATGAAACAAAAGACATTTAATTTAATTAACGTTTCAGATAGCGTCCTAATAACCTTATGCATGCCCTTGTTTTCGGTGTCGAGTCCTTTGATATATCTGGCAGTAACTCTGAATATTCTTTTTCTTCCAGTAAACCACAACCCACAGGAAACACAACTGACAGTGTACTGATCGACCGACTGGCGCAACGAGCTTAACCTACCTGGTGTCTTAACAAGGTAATTTATTAAAGTCGTTATGATATAACGCCAGGACGTGTCAATTAAATTCATAGAGACTAGTTCACTCTGCTTGTATGGAGACGACTCCACGAGGTTAAGTAGTGCAAACCGTTCAGTTCATGAATTTCACGAAATTTACCTGACCTACGTAGAAAGATAGAAGCTTGTACATATATTAGTATATACAGATCAATCAATACCGCTAGAAGCTCAACTACATTAAATTTAGTGTCAATGAACAACAGCCTGGAACAAAGGTCACTCAGTTGTATGCATGCACACTTATCACGTTCTTCTTCTTCATTGATGTTGTTGTTCTCTTCTTCTCTACTTCTTCTTCTTCTTCTTCTTTAGTCTAAGTTTTTTGTATGTTTTCAAATGACCCTGTTTTTATGATACCCCGTGCTTGATTATATCTTCTTCTTCAGTCTATTTATTGTTTCATTTGTTAAATTGTTGATAAATTTGATAAATAGTCAATGACCTACAATGCCGATGATGCCCCCATGCAGTCCTTACACAAAATGCATAACATTTATGTCTTTGATAAACAGTTGTTAAGGGATAACTTATGAATAATGATCTGATGATAACACATGTTGTTGTTGACACTGCCAGGGCGTAAATAGGCCCATGCATTTGCCAGTTATTTTATTCGCTTGAAGTCAACGAGTATCGTTCTGTTCTAGCATAGCTGTGTTCAACCAGTATAGACATGTACGTCGTTGCACATCAGCAAATTTTATGTGCATAATTATACACCCTTTATCTGTAGCAACACAAAACGAAAACTCAAACATATCGCCTTCGTTGTGTGCATGCAAACTACACTTGTTTCAGTTTTGAAAAGGCCATGAGAATATATTTCAATGAAAAAGTAACTGGTTTCGGAAATTGATAAACCTGTAGACGACACTGTTACATTGAGCTTATGATTCGAGTTATCAGTCTACTGTATGCTGGGTTAATTACTATAGGCCAGACACAGCTGACACCGCCGGCTAGCAATACACCTGCATGCAGACACTCTGTATGAAACAATGGATTTCGTGCGACAAACACGTATACACACTGTTAAACCGGATTGCAGCACAGATGGTGCTCTGTGTAGTTTAATGACTCTAATGTACAGAGAACAAATAGAAAATATTGAATGCAAGTGATTTTTATTAATCATAAATGAATTGATTGCAGTAAGCAAATAAAATAAAACATGCATTGGTTTTATAGTCAAAAGTTCAGATTCGCTACGTGTCTCTCCCACTGTAGGTGTCTTGTGATGTGGCGAGACGCATGCTCAGCTTTTCCACAGTTTTTGCACAAGCTGTTGCCATGCACAGATACAGCAATGTTAATATAACGGAAGTCCATCTTCCAATTAACATATTCAAATATTGTTTGTAATTTGTATGACAATAGTCCAAGGCAAACGATAACGCCTTTCCATGTTTGGAACACGACAGCTGTCCGCATGTGACAATGAAATTAGTCCGTTAATACTTGAACGTTTGTCAGGAGTTAGCTATTATTGGCTCAAGATCAGCATTGTGATAATGTGTCCTTAGCTTTTCATATGATCCAGCACACTTAGAGTTTGTCCTCTTTTTGTCCGGTGCGGGGTCAGACAACACCACGTGTTTCTGGGCAGGTCCAGATATGGCCACGGTTGGCCGCGTCACACGTGGGAATGACGTTATCTGACCCCAGATTGTCCGTGAAGATTTCGGGTCAAGCACGGGATTTCTCTGGACCGAACGCGGGACCGTTGGTCAGATGATACTTGTCTAGCCAGGATGACCATGGGTTGAGTTTTGATCTTTCTCAGGATGGGCTTCCTGAGCAGTTGTCAAAATAACTGACCGATCACTGGTCAGACTGGTAGCTGGATGATAGGTCGAGGGTAGATATCGCTAGCCATTACATCGTTATAAAACTTATTGACAAGGACATCTTCTTTTGAAGAAGAAACAGGGTTCTGGAAAGACAAAATCAAAGAAACAACATAAGTAATCTGTTGCCATGTGTCACCACATAATATAATTTTATGGATATTTAATTTGCAGTAATAGCTTATATAGTATTATAAAGAATTAATCTGCTGTAAGGCTTTTTATAAGCATTTCCTGGTTAATTGTAATAGGATCCGGGATGTTACCATGAGAGGCGAGGTAGGTTACACTACGATTATTTACTATTCTATATCCTGGTTTCCTAGAATGTGACGTCAGATTAAATATAATCTTAACAGAGCAGAAGCTACAAGAACCCACAACACACCACCCACACAATCTAGTGTAGATTCAAAATACAATAGCAAAAGATGCTTACCTGTACAAGAACGCAGCTGGTGTCTGACAGCTCGGAGGCGTTGTTATTGGTGGCAGTGGACTTGAGGATGGCGCTGAGTTTGTCTCCACTATCCACGCGGAGGACAGGGATGTCGTTCTCCCAACAGTAGGCCTCCAAAAGTTTATGCTGAATGTTGATACTGACATCCATTTGTGGTCCGACGTCCGGCAGGACACAGACAGACACGTCCTCAGGCTGGGTATTTAGGAGCGTCACACAGGAGAACACCCCACTGGTCAGACGGTTACTGGCCAAGGATTTGACCAGAACCTCTCTCAGGGCTATTCCAATGTCAGTTGGCCTTCTATAATAACAAAATTAAAACGACATTGTAATGATATTGTTTGTGACCAAATAACAAAGTTGTAAGAGAAGTAAACATGTTTTTTTCCAAGGATAAAATTGCTAAATCTTGTTTACGTGGCGGCCCTAGCAATGCTATTGTCGCTATTGATTTGTACTATAGACCTAACGCACCATGTGAAACACCAGCCACATGATTTCGTCATAGCTCGTGACCCCAATGGATCGTCTGCTCAGTTATTCGGTACAGCCATATGGCAGCCACGAGGCTAGCTTATCATGGGGCAGGCATTCAAATTTTATCCGTTGTAAGCCTTAAATCTAACTTTAGTCAATTAAAATATTCTGCTCTTGTCTATAGATTTAGTTTTACAATTACAAGTTTACATAAGATCACTAAACCAATGTGTAATCATGTGATGTGGCCTACCACAGCAACTGTGGTAACGTGGTGACTATACCATGAACGAACTGGTCTTATGTTAGACAAACTAATTGAAATGAAAGACAAAAGTTAAATGAAACTTACCTTGTGGATTGCTCAGGAGCACATTCGACGTTATCTGGTAGAGTCATGTTGTTAATTGATGTGATATAATCCGTATTGTATTATCCAAGGTTCAAATGTAAGCACAGAGCGAGATACGATGCGGACCGATCAGTGAACAAGCGTGTAATGGCAGTCAGTGGGAGTAACAAAGTATTTATACCCCGGCGGGGCCTTATTCGTAGAAACGGCTCTTCTGATTGGCTGTCCCGCGTACGGAGAAGTCAGCGACACAAACATGTGTTGTACCGAGAAAACAATGACCTAGAGGTTGTTTTGCTTCAATGTGCTATTTACAAAGGACACAACAAACGGATTATATGCTATACGTTTTATGAAAAACATAAATTCATACCAATAAATTAATATCGTGCAAAACAGTTACATAAAGCAAAATTGAATAGAAAAGTCGTTCATATTCGTGGAAAATACTTCAGAAGGGGGTTCCCCTTTTTAAATCTCTGACAAGACTTAACATGTTCTCTGGGGTATACACATGATCGTTCTCGTAGGTATATGACCTAGTAACAGCCGGCTTGTGAAGACACGGCCAGAGTACTCTAGGGACCTCTTTTGTTGTACCAACCGCGTGTTACAACTATGCCAGGTATGCCACCAATGTTTGATCGCTCGTTAGTAGGAACTATGGCCATTTAATCGAACGGTTAACTGGTGGTACACTAAGGTGTGAGGGCGTTGATCAAGTTATGTAAGGAATGTAAAATATACTGTGGGAGCAACAAATTAGGATACAACCACTTCAAACCAGACACAGTTGTATGTATCACAGTCGCGGACACGGACTGGTACGGTCATCGGTTCGGGCGGGTAACTGTCGTGCATTCTCACGGTCGTCTTATTATAAAGACATAAGATATGACACATATTTGTGATATTTCTTTTGATGAAAGTCTTGAATATTTGTTTTTACTTAAAATTAGTCTTTATCTGGGACCTCAGAAGGACAAAGACGCTTGTATGCATCGCCGAATGTATGTTTTAAAGTCAGCGAGTAAAGAACGTAGGATAAGAGGATAAAAAAACTGATTAATGATTATAAAATGAAAAGAAATAAGATGCCGTACCCTGTATTTAACGCCCTGGCAGTGTGTCATGTTAAGTACATGTATTCAGTTGTTTGAATATGACGTTTTGAAAAATTGGAAATCTTTGAAGATAAAAATGACTTTGAATTTGATTCAGAGGCAGACATAGACCAACTCACATCCGAATGATGGAAGCTGCAATATCCAATTAAAGAGTGTCTGTAGTAAGTAGACACTCGTCAAACATAAATAAAACATAAAAAGCTGGTTTACTTTGAACATTTCTTTGTTTGAATCCGACTGAATAAAAGCTTGCAGACCGTTTACTGTACAGACAACCAGACATCAAGGTCCATCTAATACAGGAGTTAGATTTAAACGATTACTTACAACATCGTTCAAAGCTTAGCTTTTATGTGATATCTACTTTTTAAGATTGGAAGAGAAGAAACCTTCAATGTTAGATATGCCACACCTGGATGAAGTGCTATGTCAGAGTAACGTATTCTCCTAGAGGCCAAGGTAACCGGAACTAAGGTGTTCCGCACTTGTATGAAGTGGTGTTTTATGGTAAATAGTGGTACGACGGTGTGTGTACCAGGTGTACCAGATAAAATCCACAAGTGACAAGTGACAATGACGACATGTCAAAATGCTATGATAATCTACCCACCATTTAAAGAAAGCTTTGTTTTCTTAAACTGCTTTTCACTTACATGTGTTATTCATAAACCAGACCTGACACATAACAACACATACGGTTCTACCAGAATTCACGTGGGTAAAGCGTTACAAACGATTAACAATTTCAATAATGCTCTCAAAATGTCAGAAATGTTTTGTGAACTTGGCATTGAAGTTAAAAAGCAATTGAATGCTTCACTTGCGTTGCACTGTTTCACACAGTTGGCATACTGTGGCATTAATATGATACACAGTGCTGTAATATCAGTAAACAATGTACCAGCTCCTGAAACCAGTAGCCAGTACAGTGCACAGCTGTCATTGACGTGTCACTGCGTCTAGGTACACCCTAACATGTAACCTACTCAATGGACAGCGTGTGTAACTACTGCCAATATACGGCATTCTGTCTCGGAACTGGATTTTCCCATACGGAAGTACTCAAAAGACCTTGCAGTTTTTAGATTATCAGTCACAGCTATTGTAATAAAATTAAAAAAATATTTTAATGTTCCCGTTAAAACACATATCAAAATAAATCATTCTGCCAACTGTGAAGCAGTAGAAATAAGCACACAAATGTTATACATGTAGACAGTTCATATACTTACCACGGGATCATAAACTTTGTGGCTTCCACAGTTTAATTGCACATAAAACATTCTTAAGGAAATGAACCTATTTTTGTTTTATGATGCATAATTACGATAATTTTGATATATGTAATGGTAAAACACTGCAAAATTAAGCAGCACTCGGGACTTATGTCATGATCCAGGGCTGAAGATGTTAAACATAATTATACAGAACTACTACAGCATCGTTTCATGAGATAATTGCTGAAAACTCCATGTGTAGCGCATTGTTAGTGAAAGAAACGATATTTGTAGTTGCACTTTATCCTTGAAATATTGCAAAGAGTGCGGTTAAGAACTACCTTTAACATTTAGACTGAAATAGCAAGAGGACACTCCTACAAGCTGCAGACAGTAAAAATCAATTTTAAAAGATCACCCGCCTACAACATCGTAAGCTGAGCACTGCAGTGCCATTTCGGTTACCGAGTATTGATCTCGGCGTTGTCGTTATAGATAGTACTTTGCATCAAGGAAGTGACAACAAATTAATGTATTTTGTAGCGTAACTATAGAGTGACAACGTGTAGGCTGTGATGTCATGTATTGTTAGATGTGTGGTGAACATCAGCTATGTTTCAAACAACTAGATTGAACCTTATTACGCTACACCTACACATATCATTGCAACGGAGATCATGTGATTTATAGGGCCCCTCAACAGCTTATTCCATAACTCTATAGATAATCCCGTTCCTGGCAGCAGCACTTGCCCGCCTCTTTACAGTTTTTATGCCTTCAGACAAATATGGCCTGTTTCAAGGACCAATTATGACATCAATTTATAATAACATTTGAAAAAAATTATCGATTGCATTACTAAAATAGCAATTGATATTAACTTGATACCTGATAAAACCACTTATGTGGGTTTCTTCCTTATATAGAACATTGAGCTGTGCTATTTTTATTCAAACAGCTTTGTTAGATAAGACATAAACCATATGCGTTAATATGACGCTGTGAACAGCCCAGTATTTTGTCAACGAACCTTTGTCTATTGTCGCTACTGTGCATATGAAGCATCAGCATTAAAATATCATATAACACCTGGCACGTATGGAAATCAAATTGCATATATATATCTAAAGCATAATCAGAGTGATTGGACAGTACAAAATCCTTTTTAGTGGACTCAAATTTTAGCGTTTTGGTTAAGTTTTACAGGTTGGCGAACATGAAACTTTGAGCACTCAAAATATATCTAATTATTAAAATTTACAGGAACTTCAATTAGCGCAGTCATAATTTAGCGCAAGACTTAAAAAGCGAAAAGTGTTGAAATTAGAATACCGTTTAAATATTAATGGTGACAGTACCAGAATAGTATGTTGAAATATTTTCATGATCCACACATATAATATAAATCAATGCAGTTCAAGAAATTAATACTGGTGACATATCAATAACCTTACATATACAGTTGTATAACATAACAATATTCTCATTTATTACACAGTAAAATATTTATATTTCTTACATCATCATGTTTATTTATTTATTTTACACCAGATTTACCCACACACTGCCAAACCCATAATCATGAAAGCAGAAAATGCCATTTTGCTAACTAATAGGATGTTTATACCCATTTTTTTTATATCACCAACAAAGATACACTAAGCAAAGTAACATGTTCACTCAATATGGTTATAGTAAGCATTTGATCATTATTATTTTAAGATAGCTTTCTGTCAGTTAGAGATTTATCATGATTGCGTGATTTCTAAACCAGTTAGCTTGGCCCAACAAGAGATGTTTCTGTAATACCTGTAATGAAGGTCAACAACAGGCAATGGCTAGTTTTATTTATAACAATGCTTAATGACAAACTAATATGTTTCGCTTTCGTTTTCAAATTAAATCGGTTTTTAACAATATCTATCACACACATTAACCATAAGGATTTTGAAAACACTTTTCTATTGATGCATATGTATTCCTTGTTAATAGAAAAAATAATAATAATATAATTAATTCTGTGTCGTTTTTATAAACTTGAAACAGTAATAGGTTTCAGTAGATCCCAGATGGTTGCTATGGTTACTTGTTGGTAACCAAAAGCGAAAGGTCATCGGCCAGTCTGGCACTGTGTCAGTGGGTCATGGTTACGGTAGTGGCGCCTTACCAACCTAATGACAGTACTAGGGACTGTGTCAATTTTAGAGCGAAATCATCTACATATTGTATCGAGTCACTGACCTGAAGGTTAACCTCAGAGCGTTAAGGCAATATAGCACGGCTGGTTAGCTGGCCGCAGCCCCATATAACCCTCACGGCAACTATCGAGAGGGTAGTGATCTCACGACTCTAGCTTCCAAGCTAGAGACATGCAGCTTTCGTCGATCTTTCTTTATCGGTATATATACGTTAACAATAAAACATCTATATATACAAATTGATGGCAGTAAAGGTCCTGTCATTAATGTCCTTTGCATTGTTGATATAGGATTAATATCATGTTCTATAAAAAGAGTAACTTTATCCAGTGTTACAGTAATAAGCTAACGTTTCAGTATCAATGACAGGAACACTGCAAGATGATGTTTGTTTTAAGCTGTAATGATAATACGTTGTAAGATATTATAACGATAATTTGTTTTAAAATATGAGCAAATACAAGTTTTGGGCTGCAAAGTATTTGAAAAAAACATCGAATTACTTTTTCGCTTTGTGAAGTATAAGAGATTAAAAGTAATATTAATAAATAATACAGAATTAGCAGCACAACAAAAGGGTTTCCAAATTACGCATGTTACA